CTACCACTGAAGTAAATATATATGTAATTGTATATGCACAACTTTTCTGGAAAGATTCACAGGAAGAAGTGCCAGAGTGGTTACCTCTGGGCAAGGCAGGGGTGGAGAGAGGAGGAGAGCGTAGCAGACTTTTACTTTTGGATTGAACCCTTCTATACTGTTTCAGGAGCCTTGGTGGCACGGTGGTTAAGCATTCAGCTGCTAATCAAAAAGTCAGCAATTCAAATCCACTAGCTACTCTGCAGAAGAAAATGTGACAGTCTGCTTCTGTAAAAGATTTATAGCCTTGGAAACCCTATGGGGCAGTTCTACTCTGCCCTACAGGGTCGCCCTATGAGTAGGGATCGACTGGATGACAATGGGTTATACTGTTTAAAATATATGTACTATATGCATGTATCATTTTATTTTAAAAGGTTTAAAAAATTATCCCCAAACATCATAGGAGCAAATATATATGAATGAAGGCCTAATAGGACTTAAACTTCTGGCCAAGATTCAGTAACAGAGACTGGATTTATGCTCCTGTATGAAAAAATAACAACAAAAAACAGTCAAAATATATGGAACAATATTTTCAGGCAGTAAAGGACAGTGGTCCCTGATGATGGGAAACACATTAGGTGAGTCCTACAATTGCCCCAGCTTACTGCCTGGAGGAAGTTTCCACCCAAAAGGATTAGAGGGAACAATAGTCCCCATCACTCATACGAGGCTGGGAATAGTTCCCAAGCTTTTTACTCTCAAGCTGGGCTATCTAGATCATGGATAAGGGAAGAGTGTCACCTACTGGTGACAAGGGGGAACTGCAAGCACCTCTTGGGCCACCTGTTTCAAATGCAGGTTCTCTAACTCTGCCCCGTTGTGCTAAATCAGCATCAGAATTTTTAAACAATTTGACAAGATTTTTTCCCCATCTCAGTGTCAGTGGGAAGAACTGAATTGGGAATTGGAAAGACCCGGGGTCTACTCCTGTTTCATCTGCCAGGTGATTTGAGGCATCTTTCCCTGCCTCCGCCTTAGTTTCCCCACCTGTAACTAATAATGCAGGATCTGCTCTGTGGCTGTAATCTACAACCCTAAATTTATTTAACACAACATGTATTGACCTTTGCTCTGTGGAAGCTCAGGCTTGGTGCTTTGTTGGTGGTGGTGGTGCCACAGAGTTGATTTCGACTCATAGTGACCCCGTGTGACAGAGTAGAAGTGCCCCATAGGGTTTTCTTGACTGTAATCTTTATGGGAGCAGATCACCAGGTCTTTCTCCAGAAGAGCCGCTGGGTGGGTTCAAACCGACAACGTTTCAGTTAGCAGCCGAGCACTTAACCATTGCACCACCAGGGCTCCTTGCTTGGTGCTTTACGTGCATTAAATTATTTTATCCGCACAACAATCTGGTCGGGTATGTGCTTTTATTACCTCCATTTTACAGATGAGAAAACTCAGGCTTAGAGAGGTGAAGTGACTTGCCCAATGTTACTCAGCTCGTTTAAGAGTTGGAGTCAGCAAGAAAAGGTTTAACCACAGAAGAAAACATTCTTTGATGGTTATGAGGGTGGGGAGGGAAGGTGAGGGTTATTCACTAACTAGATAGTAGACAAGAATTATCTTAGGTGAAGGGAAGGACAGCACGCACTACAGGGGAAGTCAGCACAACTGGACTAAACCAAAGCTTAGAAGTTTCCTGAATACAATCAAACATTTTGAGGGACAGAGTAGCAGAGATAGGGGTCTGGGGACCATGCTTTCAGGGGACATCTAGGTCAATTGGCATAACAAAGCTTATTAAGAAAATGTTCTGCATCCTACTTTGGTGAGTGGCA